TTATAGATATTACTTAACTATTATACTATTATTACTATCTTTAACTATTTTATTAATAAGTTAAGTAAATAAATTATAAGGGTCTAGCTACCTAGACTAAAAAGGCTTAAGGATAGTTTAGCTAGACTAAGTTAAAAGGATAGAGAACCCTATAGAGATAAAGTATAAAACCTTCTATAATAAGGACTTAGTAAGTACTTATTAAAAAGTTAAAAAAGAAGATCTTAGAAGAAATAAATAAAAGTAATATAATAATATTATACTTACTTTTTAGGTATTTTTTCTATTAATTTAACTTAATTATAGCTTATAGTTCCTAAATACCTTTATAATTCTTTTATTTTTACCTTATTTTAAAAAGGTTAATAATAATAATAATACTATATACTTAAGTAATACTTATTAATTAGATTAAGGAACTTATACTTAGTATTTACTAAGTACTAAATAAAATAGCTTATATAAGCTTATATAGAGAAGATAACCTTAGTAAATAATTAGAGGATAATATAAATTAATAAAGGGAAGTAAGAAGCTATACTTTAAATAAAGCTAGGGGTTTTAAAGAGGATAAACTATTTATACTAAATATTTACTAAAAGGATAATAAATATATATAGGAGAATAGGGAATATAAGACCTCTCTCTATAGATTAAATAGGTTATAAGGCTAGATATTTATAGTTATTACTTATAAGCTAGCTTAAGCTAGAAAGCTAAATAAAGTTATTAGCTAAATATTAATATAGTAGATTATAACTATAATAGCTAACTAGTATAAACTAATTACTACTATATTAAATAACTAAATACTTATTAAATAGTTACTAAAGGTTTATAAAAAACTTCTAAACTATAATATAGTTTACCTTATTAGTAAATCTACTAATATAGAAAGAGAAAATTAGCTTATTATAATAGAGGAGGCTTATAAATATTACTCTAACTACTCTAATAATTAGTATATCTAATAGGTCTTAAGTATAGTAAAGTATACTTTATAAATAG